GAAGCTCAGGGCTCAGGGGTGGGGGTCTCACCAGACCAACTTGATTGTCATGCAAACCTGCTCCTGGGTTCGCATGTGGCCTTTGGTGGCCAGGCTGGCAGCTATTCTGCCCTAGACAGCCATATTTCTCCATCTCGTACGGAGATCATGGACATAGGGGGCATCCCCCACAAACCTAAATAAGGTCCATGGTCTCCACCCTGAACCAGGAAGACACCCGCCTTCTCCGGGCCCTGGCAGGCTCCGTGGCGGGGTGGGGCTGGCTGCCAGGGGCTTGCTGGCTCATGTTTTGGGGCCACTGGGTCAGGGGCAGTGACTACTGACTCTGAGCTGGCAGGCTTGGAGCTGGCACAGGCACTGTGTCCAGAGTCAACCCCTTTAAGGGCTCCAGATGCGGAGGGAGGGAGAGGAGTGTTCTTGGTTGAGGCTGGAGTGGCAACCAGAGCACCCTGGGAAGGCCGGAGGCCTCCTATTTTGATATGTGTCTACACAGAACTTATTTCGAAATAGCTATTTCGAATTTGGCGTTATTCCTAATGGAATGAGGTTTACCAAATTCTAAATAAGCATTCCGCAATTTCAAATTTATTTATTTATTTATTTATTTTAAAATAGCCGTTTGGCTGTGTAGACTCTAGGAAAGTTATTTCAAAATAAGGGCTGTTATTTTGAAATAACTTTGCTGTGTAGACATACCCTTACTGATTTAAAATATTTGGTGCATAAATCAGAAGATATATGGTAATTCCTATAAGTTGTATTATATGGTTTGTATTGTATAGATATGCAGATAATTTAATAAAATGCACCCCTCCAAGGAATGTAACATCCAATGAAGGAACATATTAAACCAGTGGTCCCCAATGTGGTGCCCACAGGTGCCAAGGCGCCCACCGGGGCATATATGTGTGCCTGCCAAATGATCTGGGCTGGCCCTGCCCCTGGTGCGCGACGCATGCGTGGTGCCGGCCCCGGGCACATGGCCCATGGGCTGCCCTGCCCCGGCATGTGGCACATGCGCGGTGCTGGTCCCAGGCGCACAGCTCATGTGGTGCCGGCCCCAGCCCACAGCACATGGACCGCCCCTGCCCTGAGCGTGCGGCACATGCGCAGCACTGCCCGCGGATGCCCAGCGCGTGAGCAGCCCCACCCCCAGGTGCCTGGCAGCCCTGAAAGGTTGGGGACCACTATATTAAACCAAAGAGCATTCTCAGTGTGGATAGAAGCCTATATAACACTTACGATTTTGCTCTGTGTATTGCATCTTTAAATATGTCAGAGTCTGCTGTTTGTGGAAAGCTGTTTTGTGAGAGCTGTTTGTGATCCAGAGTGTTAGTCATGGAGACTTTATTTTTAGTTGTTTCCCAAAAGTAAAAATAAGTCATAGAAACGAAATATGCTGATCAGAGTGGGTGTAAAATATACATATATTACCTCTGGAGTCACAGACTTGCATTAAACCTTGAGCTTTTCACACCATTGGACTGCAAAGATACAAGTGAAAAAAGTGAAACTGTTCCTGAAACTCTGTAGTGATTGTTAAACCTCTAATGTTTACTGCTTCGTTGTTTTTTTCCTGTGATTGAGGCCGCTTACTGGAATCCCATCTGCTGATTTCTGTTAGGGTACAGGAAGATGCTAAAGATCTTTTTGCAATATTTGAAAAAAATATATAGTGGAAAACTCCTGTACTTTGATCAGCACTCCTTCTTTGAGTTCATGGCATGACAGATTAACTGGTATTAATCCAAATATTCACATTTACACATGGAATATTACAAGAAACATAATGGCTGCATGTTTTCTTTGTGTATGTTCACTCAAACTACAAATACCTTTTTTCAGAATAGGAAAAGCTATTAAAATTCCAGTAGAGTACAACACAACTGCAGGTATATGAAAGGAGAGAAAATATGAGAGAAAGGTAATTAGTATTTTAAAATTATGTAGCTGCTCAGAATTGGTGTCAAGATTTAGAGCGGTAATTAGAAATGAAGCTGTATCACAGAAATTCAAATCTGGACTCACATTTTGAATATCTCCAAGTTGTATTTCTCACAATAGTGTTGACCCCTATAGAACAGTGAGTCATGTCAGCTACAAAATTCAGGTACTGTTTGGTATTCAGAAACTAGATTTAGTGGAGTTTGGATACAGTATTTTAGTTCTGGTCTAGATCTAGTCATAATATGCAACCCTCAGAGAGGCACTCACTCTCTCTCTTTTGAATGGCAGCACAGAGAATTAATTGCAAGCTGATGCCTTTGTGGGATTCTGGTTGCAATAGCTCAGTGTTTCTTAAACTTTTTAAGACTGAGGAACACTAAACAATTTTTTTTTATGAGGAACACCAAGGATTTTTTGTTGAGAGAAAAAAAAGGGGAGGCGGGGGCTGGGGAAAAGTTATTGACCAAAAAAAAAAGGGGGGGGGGAATCGGGGGGAAAGTTATTGACAAAAAAAAGGTCACCTGCCCCTTTAAGGGCGGATATTATGAACTCTGTTGTTCTCTGCGGCACACCTCCGACTGCCTCGTGGCACACCGGTGTGCCATGGAACACAGTTTAAAAAACACTACAATAGTGGGACTATCAGAACTAAGGGCCACAGCAGCCCTTCCCATAGTTAAAACTTGCAGGAAGGTGATCCCATGAAGCATCTGGTGACTGCTTCTGTCAGGAAAGTTTTAGGCTATGGAGAAAGAAGCAGTGTTTGCTTTTCAAATGCCACACAAGGCCTCATGGCGTGCTGGACTCTTCATAATACTGCCCACCTTCCTTGTGCTCCTTGGTGGCATAGGTCTCTTAGTAGATGTACTGCAATTGGTCCCTCTGCGCATGTCAACGAAGGATCAACCACTTCTAGGCAGGTGCAGATGCAGAGTTCAGGTCACACAGCTCAAATACCATTATATTCTTCTGTGCACATAATCACTGGTTTGGAATGGAAACCTGCTAGAGAGAGTGACTGTCTTTCCCCATTCCCTATCGCTCCCAAGACTATCGTGAAACCACATAGATTCCCAGCAGTGCTGTAACAGGCAAATAAAGGCTTAACTGGTTCAGAGGAAGGGGCATATTATACCACACTGGCTTTGTTACAATCCCTTCACTGCTGCTGGGGACTTTCTGAACTAGTTTATTACTTATTTGCTTCTGTCTGTGCCTCAGGGCAAAATGAAACAAAAAGCCCCAAGTCAGGTTCCGATGAGAAGCAAATGGAAAATTTGTAGCTCAGTTTTGCTGCTTGGTAGGTTAAACTTCAGTCTACAAAATGCACAAAAGGTGTCTCTTCATGACAACAAGACAAGCTGAGAGGCAAAGGCAGAGCCAAGATGACACATTCTAGAATGCAGTGGCATAAGGACTGAATGTATTGGAACACTTTTTAATCAATGTTTTATTCTAAATGGTAGGAGAGACATACACAGTACCCACTGTGTTGAAGGACCAAAGGAGAAATAACTGTTTTTTCTATTTGTAAAATACTTAATGGGGCTTTTTGAACAGCATACAGCTGGAACATGACAGTGGGATTTGCTGTATCTGAGTAATGAGATAAAGACATGAAATAGCACTAATATTTCCCTAAAGGGTAAAATCCACTGGCTTGAGCTAGGGAAATTACAAAATAAACCATAATCCCAAACCGCTTCACAATAAATCACCTAAGTGATTCTGATTGCTAATAGGGAAGGGACTCTGGATTCTTATAAGCACACACCTGAGGCGTTCTTAATTTATTTTCCTAACCAGATAAATGGCCAAATCCTTATCCCGTGGACAAAGGCTGAGTAAAGGGGCATTGCTCCCAGAGAGTGCTTGGTACCATGGTCAGTTTAGGGTACAGGTATGTCATGATCATGAGGGTTAGCCAGCAGCCTGGGAACTAAGGGGTTAACCGTACGTAACTCAGATAGAGTTGGCCAATAGGAATGTATGTAGAAATTTCAAACTGGGACAAAGGAATTTTGTTTTTTCCCTCTCCCTTTTCTCTGGGCAGTTCCTCTCCATCTAGTTCCTCACCTTTCTGTAAGTAGGGTAAAGTTTAGATAAATCCGTTTTATGGTTTGGGAAATGGGATCTGATGTCTGTGCACTTTAAACAAATGTTTTGGCTTTCCTTTGTAACTAAGTTCTAGGCCCATGGTGGAATTTCTCCATGAGTATATTATTTTGTTATTTTTCCATCTGGTCATTATGCTTGCAATAGGAATATTGTGCTGATAATAGAAGTTCTTTCTCTTTTCTTTTCTTAACCTGACGGTTAATTTTTGTGTCCTGGTTTGTACTTTAGCGGTGAGATTTCCCACGTGATCTCTCCCCTGATATTCTTATCAATACTTGGGTGGTGGCAGCGGGATTTATCCCCAAAATCTAGGTTGTTAAGATTTTGGGGGGAAGTTTTATACCAAAGTCTGGTAGATAAGGCTTTGGGGTACTTTTGCTGGCTCTCACTTCTGCATTTATCATGCCAGAGTGGGGAAGGAGCCATGACAAGGTATATGCCTGGGGACACAGACCCTGAAGCAATGTGATAATATCTGAAACTAAGCTTTCTTTAAAATAAAAGTGTCTCACCCTCATAGCTGTGAAGGAAAGCTTGAAACATGACTGAAGTGTAATCGAGGCAGTGACATCTACCTGAACCTGCAGAGAGTCTGAAACCATGAGAGTTAGGAACTACACCGTAGGGGTACATCTAGACTACATGGCTCCATCGACGGAGCCATGTAAAGTAGTTTACTCAGCATAGTCATAGTTTCACGAGGCATACCGGAGCAGTTGACAAAGGCTTCTCTTGTTGACTGCGCCGCCTCTAGACTGCCGCGTTGTGCCGGATCAGCTGATCATCGGCACAGCACGGTGGCCATTTTTATTTTAATGAAGCGGGGATTATTTAAATCCCCGCTTCTTTGACTATGCCGAGTAAACTACTTTACATGGCTCCGTCGACGGAGCCATGTAGTCTAGATGTACCCTGGGATGTTACGGATCCTGCTATTGTGGGCTGTCCTAGCCAACATAATCCCAGCAAGACTTGGGAGGGAGGGTTCTTGCCCCTGTTACCTATTATAGCTCTTCTCAAGGGGTGAGGATAGAGGCCTTTCTCCATAATGCATCCTGGCTCACTTGCGAAACAAGACACAGTGGTCTGGAGAAGTTCCCAAAAATGGTCAGTATTGGACCCTCCTTAAGACTGCTTTTTCCTGGGCAGGACCAGGACATGAGTAGAGTATCTTGGAGCCCATGGGAAGGAGCATGCCTTATGTTACCATATTACCTTCATTTGGCACTCTTTGAGAATTGGGGAGAATGGGGAAACAACTAACTGACCTCCAGCTCAGCATTTTTGTGGCCCATGGATTCTCGCTGTACAAGAAGCTATCAGCTATGCTCCCATCACATCCATAGCACATGGACAACACTGATAGACATTCCAGAGCCTAGCGTTTGCAGCATACGATGAGATGCAGTCTCCCTGCAGGAGCCCTGCCTGTGGAGTGCTGTCTGCCCCGTGTTGTCAAGCTAGCAATAAGAATGACATCATTTAATTTAAGGATGTGTCCAGATTGCGTTCAAATAGATATACTACGTTGCATTTCTTAAAAGGGACAGACAGTGATGGCCAATAACCTCAGTCCCTTTAGAGTTAAAAAAAACTTTCTTACAACAAAAACAAAACAATATAAAATTAGCAAAATCAGAAATCACCTTGGAAATTACCATTTCACTTCTTTTGAACACACACCACTCTGTCTTTATTTTGCATGTCTTTCCATTCCAATGTTGATCCAATTTTAGGTACTTACGATCATTTCTTCAATGTGTTTTGACCCTAGAAGATTACCAATTTTATACCTTAGAAGTATATCACCTATCTTTATAAAACTATCGTTACAACATCTATTTTTAACTTTCCATGCTTGAACAAAGTAGTTGACTATTGACCTTTGCTGGGTCACACCTGTGTAGATTACTGAGTAAAACCAATTTGTTGTTCTAACACATAGTCCTGATGCTTTAAAATGGTTAGATCTACAATCCAAATATTTTAGGATCATTATTTTATTTAAAAACACACACACAGAAGGATGTATTGTTGAAGATTAGGGATCTCTCTGTGTTAAAGAGCCACAAACTTTTCCCTATGACTTCAATGTGACATTCAAACTCTGAAAAAAATATAACTGCTTAGTTCTATGGGGATTTTCTTTAGCTTCAATTCAGCATTGCAGCATCTCCGTGTATATTTAAACCAAAATCATGGTAGTTAAATTAAAATATTGAACCTTTGTATTGCCCGTGCAGTGGAACAAAATAAAGTTAATCTTTGTGCATATGCTAATTGAATCCCATTATCAGATACAGTCCAATATTGTCTTCATTTCTTGAAAGTCTAAACAGATTATACAGTATTATATGGATAATGTCCAATCATCTGCTAAATGATGTAAATACATCTTAATCTACAATTGTACCTTCCAGATAAAGAAACGGAAGTAAATGTATAAATTGTGTATTCAATTATAATGCAAATGTACACCAATAGGAACAGATGTAGATATGATATGCATGCACATATTAAACTTAGTTGTTAATCAGTAAATCTTGTTTAATCAAATGTTTGGGTATGAAAATGATCTGAATACTTAGTCCAACTGAGACAGAAGATTGTAGCACTGCTGTTACTGTCAGTCACCAGTTTAAAATACTCTTGATCACAAGTCTTTCTGTCAGCAGCCTTGAATTAAATTAGGCAAAGCTCCTAATTAACAGAGAAATGTACAGTAACCTCATGCACTTGAAGGTTGGTTACTATAAAAGGGCATTTTTAAGCTAAATCTTAAATGAATTCAGTCTACAGCTGAACCCCTAAAGTAGTAGCTGCAAGTTAATGCCCATATTATTCAGATTATGTGCATATAAATAATCTCTTTTGCAGGGCAGAAAAAGCTGGTGGCACTTGCTTTTGGCTAGATTAGCAACAACGCAAACTAGAATCAGACCCCTCAGAATATTGAGGACAGGAGTTTCCCATTAGTTATGTTGTGACATGGAAGGGCTCCTAGCTGCCTAAGTCCAATACCTCTTTACTTTCCAAATGTGACCCTTTCTGCACAAAAACAGATTCGTATGAGGATAGAATAATTCTAAACTCCAGTGTCTGAAATATTTACTAACTACCATGTACAAAGGCCTCCCTGTGCTCTCATATGAAAGCAGAATAGCAAATATTTTCAATAAGGTACATATGCATTAACCATTAGAGACTGAAATCTCACCTTAAATATTAATGTAAACAGGGCTATAGGTTCCCCTCCTCC